ATGGTTGCGACCGTTTCCTTAGTGCTACCAAGTGTTGCAACCTCCGCAGTAACTGTTGGTGAAGGCTCAGGTGTGCTCTCGGCGGCAGCAGTAGTAGTTTCATCCAGATTAGCCTGTACAATTGGGTGTAATTCTTTATCAGATGGTTCTTCTCCGCTCGCTTCCGCGGGAAACTCCGTTGTAATTACGTTCCTTTCTGTTGTAGACTGCCCGCCAGCCGTTTCACCAGTAGCGCTCTCTGTAGCGGGAGAAGTGACTATGAGGGCCTGTTCGGTGCTAAGAGGAGTTGTGCTAGACACAACCCCTGACGCCATCGTCGCACTGGTTTCTGGTGTGCTCTCGGCGAAAATTGTAGTAGTTCCATCCAGACTCGGCTGTACTTCGGGAATTATGTTTGTATTGGAGGGCTCTTCTCCACTACCTACTTCCTGTGTCGTTGTAGCTAATTCGCTCTTTTCTGTCGTAGTCACTTCACCACCAACCACAATTATAGGTGGTACGGCTACAGTTGAAGTCTGTTTTTCGGTAGACGACGGTGTGGACGTCTGAGAAGAGATAGTACTCGTAGCACTTACTTCTGCAGTGGCGAGTGGTGTGCTCTCGTCAAAAACGGTGGTAGTCTCATCAAGGCTCGTTTGTACCGCTGGAAGCGCGTTTTTATCGAGAGGTCCTTCTCCACTAGATTCCTCATGTCGTGCTGGTGTGGATTCGCTTGTTTCAGTAGTGGTTTGCTCACCACTCGCTTCCGTCACAACCACAGGTGGAAGTGTGACTGGAGAGCTAGATCCCTCGACCGGAAAAGAGGATGTTGCAGATGTTTCAGTGGCGGTAACACTTACAACTGGTACAATTGCAGGTTCTAATGTGCTTTCCACAGAAACAGTGGTGGTTTCATCCAAACTTGTTTGCACTTTTGGAAGTGCGTTTTTGTCCAGTACTTCTTCTCCGCTAGCTTCTTCGGATAACGGAGTTGTTCCTTTGCTCTCTTCTGTTGCTGACTGTTCAGTAGTTGTTTCCGTTACAGCTCCTTCCGCTGTAGGAGAGGCAGTTGTAGCAGTCACTTCACTGCCAAGAGTAGTTGCTGCTGATTCATTCCCTGGAACAGCTGTTGAGGACGCTAGGGTACTTTCAGCAGAAGCAGTAGTAGTCTCATCCAGATTCATTTGCACTTCAGGCAGCGCATTTTTGTCCAAAGGTTCCTCTCCACTAGCTTCTTCGTGTGTTGTTGTTATTTCACTCTTTTCTGTTGTTGTTGTTGTCTGTTCGCCGCTTGTTACAGGTAAAGCGCCTTCTGGTGGAGAAGACACTGCAGTTACATTACTTTCTTCAATGCTGGGCAGAGTTGATGTAGGCCCGGCTCCCACTGTTGTTGACACAGGTTCTGTCGTGCTCTCAGAAACGATAGTTGT